CTACATAGTGAGCCTGAAAAAAGAAAAGCATCAATGTGTGAACCAGTTCACAAATTAACTTAGCTTTCAGTTTCCAAAATTGTGGCTTCACATGCTAGGGATGTTCAACTCTCCTGGTGTAAGGCCTACAGAATAGCACTTAAAACCTTGCATCTGAGCTAACACACATACACACACACACACACACACACACACACACACACACACACACAAAAGGGAAACATACCTGATTCCGGATTTCTAAGCTACAGATAGAGAGATATTTATACACGCACACATATTATCAGCTTGTATTCAAATCTATATAGAAGAAACGATAAACATACCTGATTCCGGATTTCTAAGCTGCAGATACTGAGCTATTTCTACAAGCACACATATTATCAGCTTGTATTCAAACCTATATTGAGGAAACGTTATGCCAACAGCTCTGTTATTCTGTAAGAAATGTATGATGAGAAGGGTTTTAGCTGAAGCCCCGGGCTTGATACCAGTACCAAAAAAAATTTCTACAAAAAGCATTTTATATTTTACCTCACACAGGAGTGATGAGACCCTTGACTTCAACATATCTTTGGATGTTTAAATTACTCTGAACAGAACAGATACAGAATAGACACCCTCAACATCCTGCAGTTCCTGTGTGCTTTTTAATGGTCTTAAAATTAAGCAACTTTTAAATTAAATTTACAAGAAGATTCTGTTATCTTCCTTAAGGAGCCACGAATGATACACATTCTGAAACAGTACCAGTGGATTAATGATTTTATTAGCTTCTGCTTCTGTTATCCTAAGAGACTTCCAAGATATGATGTCACAGTGGGGAGACAGAAAGAAAAATGGAGATGGGTTTCAGGTTTTGCAGGATTGTAGTCATAAGTCATAACCCTCAGAGGAATGAAAAGGAATTCGTTCTGGGAGTTAAGAAAAGGAGGTTATAAAAGAGAAACACGGTTGGTCTGGGCATGTTGCAGGCCAAGAGGGCCTATGAAACGGGGAAGACAGAACTGCCACACATAATACACGCATTCTGCACGGGGGTGGGGTGGGGGCTATCTTCCTCCTCTACTGCCCGGTGGTCCTATCAATGCCTACAGATCCTGTAGCCATGCAGCCTTTGCACATTGAGAACTGCCTAGTGTCTGCACTTGGAGCCATCTAGAGTGTACAAGAGTCCCTTTATTTTTAGGCAGCACGAGATCCAAGGACCACTTGGCAGAGGTAAAACACCACGGTGTCCCCTGGATATACGCAGCTCTGTCAGATTATTCCCATGCTCACAATATGCCAGTCTTATCTTAGACATAAGTAAATCCTTGAATTGTTTACCAGCATGGGTTTGAGAATAACTGGAAAGATATGTATATGATAGAAAAAATATACCCAGAATTTTCTTTTGTA